ATATTAAATTATTACAGAAAATCAATGTGGGGATTTACATTTACAAAAATAATCCATTAATCAAATTGTTAGTTAACGTATTAATTGTTCAATTCATTTAAAAAATTAACATTATTAGAAATAGTCATAAATTGCTCAAAATAATGTTTCTAGAAAACAGTTAAAAGAACAAATTTTTAAATTGTTGAAAATTATAATGGATTAAAGGTAAAAAATTAATTTAAATTAACTGTTTCCAAATCTGGCACTGTACTATCTTCCAACTCTTCCTTCTGTAAACCTGGTATTAACTATTGTTTTATGACTTTTAAGTTGTGGTTTGCTTACTGCATTATGCGATCCCATGTACTTCTTTAATGTGTGCTTGAAGTTTTCCAGATCCAAAGATTTGTGTGCATTATTTTCTAATTCCTGGAAGCAGACAAAGCAACAGGGGCAAAATGATGTACTACAGTAAGGGAGACTTGGTGAAGCTCTATATTTCAAAGTACAATCCCCATTTGTGGATATAAGTTCTTTTATAGTTCTAAGATGTGTATGCTAAGATAAATACATATTTTAAATCTGACTCTGTTCTGTAACAGTCCTCTGTTCTACAACAGTCATATTTGAGGAGCTGTTCAGTCCAGGTCTGAATTAAAGAAAAACATGGATCCCAGAAGGTGAGGGCTTGAAACCACCCCCTGAAATTATCTGGCAAAATTGGACCACCAAGATTCCTGTGTAGTTGTCCTTTCTCAGACATTAACAATCAGAAATGTACTCACTCATCAAATGCTAAGAAATATTAGAATAGCAACTAATCCTCCTAGGAACAAGAAAGGGTGCTTGCAATCTAACCTATGCACACTTACTTGGGCACCAGTGTGATGTAGTGGTTTGCGCATTGACCTAAGACTCTGGAAACCAGGGTTCAAAGCCCTGCTCGGCCATGGAAACCCACTGAATGATCTTGAGCAAGTCATACACTCTCAGCCTCAGAGGAAGGCAAAGGTAAACCACCTCCGAACAAATCTTGCCAAGGAAACACCAAGACAGAGTTACCTTAGGGTCGACATAAGTCAAAAATGACTTGAAAGCACATAACAACAACAAGCTACCCTAAACACGTGGAAGGCGTTTCTACATACTTGTGCTTTTAAGAGTCTCCATGTTTGAATTATAACAGAAAAGAATAGTATTAACGTGAAATTAATATGAAAACCTCCTTCTAGCATTTATTCCCCTCAAACTCAAAATAATTTTGAGGAGTAAACCTGACTACACACTTAACAAATTGAAGATAATTTTTGATGTAGCAGGGAAGAAAGAAAAGTTTCTTTCTAATCAAAAAGTTCCCTTAGGTTACATTTCCTTTTGCTGAAACAACATAGAGTCATATATAGATTTCATTAGGATGGTAATACCTGAAAAGCTGTGTGTATCTTCTGAAGCTGTTCAAGAGTTACTTGTTGCTCAATCTTTCCAAGGAAAAAAAGCAATATGGAATAATTAAAGTATTATGTTTTTAAAACTTTGTGACACATGAAGTCTGAAGAGCCCCTTCCATTAACAGCAACATTTCCCAACTCAGTTTCTTTCAGCTTAATGGCTTCCCCCACTACATTTTACAAGGGAGCATCCATTTTACTGCATTTGGTGTCAAGACCTAATATCTACAATAAATTTTTCCAATTCTGTCTAAAAGTAACTAAAGCAAATTGGAGAAAGTACACCCTTAGGTGTACTGAGGGACAAAAACAAATTGAAGGAAAGAATGTGAATGGATATAAAAA